AAAACTCTCCATTGCAGACAGGAAAGGAATTGCTTTACTAGTGTCTGGGAAGGACTAAAATGTCCAGGGTGTATAAGACATGCTAGATGGGCTTGCAATAGCCTCCATCTATTAGACATTTCCTTTTATACTCTATAGTTTTGTTTCCAGAGTCATGAACTCACAACCAGCTTTCACATCCTTTCATAGCTGTTTCATCAGCCAAAAGTCACAATGAAGCCCTCCCCAGTTGCTTATGAATAGAGAGAGAAACTGTATTTAGCATCAATTAATTAGGAGGTTAAAACAATAATTAGCCTGTCTTCCTTGATATGAGCCAGTGCCTGGGAGCCAAGGTCTGAAGTGTCACATCTTGGCAACACCATTTATCAAGAAGAAAATATAAGTGAGGTTTGTTTTCTAAATAATATTTCATATGGACTTAAATCTAATAGCTGTGGTGTGTGATCTCTTGGGTTGTTATTAATTTTTTTAAGCTTTGGTTAAACTCTCTTTCTAGTGCTGAAGACCATGTGGGTGGCCAAAATTAGTCTTTCTTTATGTCCTATCAAGGCCAGTTAAGCAACTAGTCCTCAGGGGTCACTTGGGTGTGAAAGTATCCTCAGAGTCTTCTAGTCTGTCTTTTACCGGTTGTCCATCAATGTGAGGATAAATCAAAGTGTTTTCTTTATGTATTGTGGCTTCCTTTGAAGCCTTGAGGAACTCCTTCCCACATTGACCCTCTGTAGACTTGATAAGGTTTCAAATTCATGCAGTGGTGTCTCCATGGACTCCACGAACAATACAACAAATAATCAATGGCTTTTTCACCCCTATGGAACTTGCTGAGCTTGTATGGAAAGAGGAGAAATATTCTCCCTTTCTGTCCACCTAACCACATTAGAATAGCCTCCAAGAATGATTAATAAACACCCAGAATATCAGTTTTATACCAGTTTGTTACTTTTAACTACTGTATGATATTTTAATAACCAGACATAACACAATAAAGTTTGTTTTCATGTTTAGCCAGTCCTTGAAATAGTTGATATATAATCTTGCCAACTTTAATAAATACATGATCTCTAAATCTCATCCTTTATGTACCTTAAACAACATACTCAAACTGTCATAACTTGCAAAACCTCTCCAGGCTTCTTTATGATGGAGCCTTCCATGAATCATAATCTTCATATAACTAAGTCCTTCTTTACTAAGGTCATTTATATTCCTCTAACATTTTCTTTTATGTATTGTTTCCTTTTTAATAATACCATGAGACCTAGGAACATTAAAAGGTGTGTTTATAATATGTTGTGATTTTTCTCCCAGGTGAAAGGGGAAGAAGCAATGTCTATCCCATTTGTGTAAGTCCCAATGATGATGCAAAGTACAATGTCACCAAAGTCCATCCTAGGGAATCAATGAATTTATTGAGCTTACTTACTGAACATGAATGAAAAGATACTTAGAAAGGTTATGATACTGTGGTGGCTTTAATCAAAATGACCCATAGTGTCCCATAGGTATTGGCATTAAGAGGTGAGGCCTTATTGGAGTAGTTGTGGCCTTGTTGGAGGGAAGTATGTCACAGTCATTTCTGCTGCCTGATGGCCTGCATGTAGAACTCTCAGCTCTTCCTCTAGCACCATGTTTCCTGAATTCCACGATGCTTTTTTGCCATGATGATAATGGACTAAATCCTCTTGAACCAAAAGCAAGCCCCAATGAAATGCTTTCCTTTATAAGTGTTGCTGTAGTCATGGTGTCTCTTCACAGCAATAGAAACTCTAAGATA